AGAAAAAATCCTCCGAATCGGAGGCTGTCGGAGGTAGCCGAGGTCAGGAGCAGCGCGAGTGAAGCCTGCGTATCGACTCATTTCCTTCGTATCTGAACGAAAAGTTTCTACCCGGTCGGTTGAAAAGCTTTAGTATAACCCGGCGAGCCGATCAGGCTGGGTGTCTAGCTTAACTGCTTGTTAGCCGACTACTGCTTGGCCGACTGGCTCTGACTGCTAGCCGGCTCGTCTCGTTCAGTCGCCTCTCCGACATCCTGCTCGTAACACACGATCGTGGACGGTGCCAGTACCGTGGATTCCGTGCGTGTGTTGTTCCACGTTTGTCTCGCCGTCTCTTCGTTTACAGTTTCTGTCATGCCAGTGGCGGATGCAGCGGGGCCGTGACACGACTTTTTTTCGGCGCCAGTTAGACCCACGTGCACACGTTCAAGGCGAAACAAGGGCCGAATTAGATTAGACGAGCACGAAGAAGACGTGTAAGTTGCCTCGAAAAACAAAAATATGTACAGACTTGCACGCGCCCGTGCAAACGAAGTTCAACAACTGAGAAGATTTGCCTGTTGCTTTTCGCCTAACAGGGAACGCCACATTAGGTAGTAAATTAAATGGTGAAAACGAGTGTTTCGGTGAGAAAGGTGGAAGTTTAATGAAATGTGAAATTGTAATTCGAAATTTCATTTGTGCCGGCTGGCTTGCCCAAGTGCTTCCTCCGTTTAGTAAGTTACGATACCGAGAGAACAAAGGATATTTGTTTAGAAGATGAAGCTGTCGTTTAATAAAATTGTTCAACCGTGAACTAGGACCGTTCCTCTCGTTATTATCGTGCTCTCGAACTCGAAAAGCCGACGACATCCACCGGTTGATTGAACAGCCTCTCCGTTTTCAATCACGGGCCACGATCACGTCGAATCTAGTCGTTTAAACGTGTCTCTGCTCCGATGATTCTGCGGCTCGACCGCGGCTCGATGTCTGTGGGAACAATTAGCAGAGGCCTGCTGTTCCACGTAACAGCTTTTAAAATGGCTAGGTCCGTCGGTCGGTTCGATCTTTCGAAAATACGATCGTTCAGAAACTAACGAGCGTCGACAGTCGCGAGATTCTCTCACCACAACGTGTTTCCATCCAGTCGATCACTTTGTTCCGAGTCACATCCAAATGTACGTAGATCTCTTGTGCAGAGACAACCGAAATTAACACGGGGATTTCTTAATTCTTCTCTAACCTCTTCGTACAGTAAGCGTATTTTTCAATGATTTCTTCAAACAGAATTTTGTCAGTCAGGTATCCTTCGAAAATAATCGCGACGCGACTCGTATCGACTTCAAATTGAATTTCCATCGAGACGGCGACGAAAGACACGAAAGTGCATCGACATTCTCGATTATAAATCAACGATGATTTTCGACATTCCTGTTTCTAGCGACTCATCCTCGCCAGCTCGCAAGAACTAGAAGTTGCAGCTATACCGTAGGAGCTAGGAGCAGATCTGGGTCTGACTTTCGGGGCTTGGAACCGGTTCTCCCGCCTTTCTTTCGTCCTCGTTCGTGCACATCACTTCGAGTCTTTCGTCCTTTAACGGGACGAACACCGGGATTTCGTGGATTCGCCGTTTCGGCTGTGTAATGCACGATTGTCAACACCATAGGCGACGTCGCTCGCGTTTTCGATTCTCAGAAACGGCTAACGGTATCGGAGCTGGATATTCTATCAGATGAATTCTCCGTTTCGTCGTTCGTCCGTGAAATTGCAACGTCCGAGGGAGAAGAAAAGGCGACAAAACGCTAGGTAATACCATCGCGGTAATACCAACTTTTTACTGCCCGACTACACTTGAAAAATTATCTTCGAACTGTTATTACTCGGCGAGCTATCTCATCTCCGAGCCGATAAGATTAACACCGCCGACGGACGAACATTGAATTTACGTGTCACCTTCCATCGAGGATTTTTGCACGGTCCCGAGGTAATTTGCATTAGCGGCGGATTTTAACGGGAACCCATTTCTTCTTCGTTCTTCTGGCGAGAGGATTGTGAGAACGGGAACGAGTGTGCGAATAATCACTGGAAACAATCGTCGATGACCATCAGCGACCTTTCATTTGACGAATAATTAATCCGCGCGTAACGAGAGAGTTCTTTTTCTTCTCGATTCAATCTCACGGAGTATCTGAATCTCTCTCTGGGAATTGAATCATCCTCTTTGGATGGCTTTGAGTCACGCGATACGTATTTTCCATGGATACTTTGATCGATTTGCAACAATATCCGCATTAACGTGTCAGAAGTGTCTATCTATCGATCTAATTTTACGATGATAATGACAATTCTTAATCAAAGAGCAGATAATTCAAAAATTGAAGTGCGAAGATAAAGAGTTTGATACGTGAAGAAATAATTTCGCGAGATTCGATAAAAAAATTGAGCTTCTCAAGTAGCATTCGGTAATTAATATTAGATTACTGAAACTTTATTTAACTTTATTTAACGCGTCTGATTCTTCGCCACTGAGTGCTTAATAACAAAATCGGAGTAACACAAAACGTTCAAAAACTAAGCAACTTGCGACTCTAAATTGTCACGAGTAAAAATCTCGTTGAAATCTTGTCAAAAATGAGGGAAAATGTCGACAGTGTATCCACGTCTCGTTTCGTTAGTTTCACGCGAACAAAAGGATGTCATGCGCCGAAATCCAATGACTGTCCGCATTCAAACATCATGTATATCAGCGTGCCGCGAGAACCGGTTTCCTCGAGGGACAATTCTTTGTCTACGTCGATTTGGGGAACAAATCTCGACTAACCGTTCGGCAGACTATCCGAGGAGCATGCTCGTTCCTCGCATTACCCAACACAGATTAGAGAAATTAACGTGGAGACACGTTATAGAATAGAATTCCTACATAATTCCGGCGACCTCCTCGCACGTAATTCGAAAAACGGTACTTCTTGGAAAAGCCGAAAGGTGTATGTCAAGAATTCGAATGGTCGGCCAACAGGCAACCCGATGTAGGAAATGAACTCTTCCGTATTCGATGAAACACCGATCAGAACCGGCAGGTTAATTAATTTGAAACGTCTTTCTAACGGCGTCAGGCTCTCATTTCTAGACGCGCCATTATACCGTGCATCCTGCAGCTGTCCAGGCTTGCACAGTACCAGCTCTGTTTTGTCCTCTTATCACCCTTTTTACGAGAAAAAGGAGATACCTTCACTTCAAAAGAAATAATCGTCAACTTCTACACATGTCTGATTTTCTTCGATCGAAAGGATGAACATTTTGATCGACCATCGTATAATTGTCTCGACCCATGCACGGCTGAAACGACGAATGAATACGAATCGCCGTATCAATTTATCAGCGTTCACGATCGGACAGTTGCGAAATATTTAATGTATCAAAGAGTAACCGTGACAGAAAGAAATCGGGACATTAATTGCCAACGCGAAGGTCGTCAGCTACGTCGTTTAACACGTGTGCGAGCTCGATCGACCAATATTGACATATTGACCGTAGTAATTTTTAAAACCGCGAATTGTTTCACGCATATGATACATCTAGCGACAGCGTTCTGCGTTTCTTTCAGATTGACATGAACGATCGATCCGCCTTGGTGACCCCAGGACCATGGAATTCGACGAGACGCAGCCGTCAATACTGAGGCGATGAAAAATGCTGGACGTAAGTAATCGTGCTTTCGCGCCAAGAAATACTCGGTTACGTCACGTTCGAAGACACCGTGTCGTTGACAAGGATAATTGATTTCGTTCGATCGGCCAGTGGCTGACGTAAAACTAAACGTCTGGTTAAACAACGAACGCTTTTGCAGTCTTAGCGTAGAACGGCAAAAAAGAAGAAAAAAGAAGGTAGGTACACGGGCGCAAAGTTTGCTCTTTTAAACGGCAAATAAAACGCGAGCCAAAGTCCAATGAATGCCTTTGAAACGAACCGAATACCAATTCATCCGGCGTATCTCTTCGTTTCACTCTTTCGACTTCTGTTTTTCGCCTGACTACAAAGCGACATTTGTTTCGCTGGATTTCGGACTATCGCGAATCAAATTAAAGAGAAGAAGAAGAAGAAGAAGAAGAAGAAGAAGACGAAGAAGAAGAAAAAAAAAAGGATTATGAACGTTTGTTTGTTGACCAGGCCTGAGGAGAACTGGTCGCTCATGTACGAGAGCGAGAGGAACAATGGGACCGTACGAGGAATTCCCGTCAATTACGCTAATTAGCACATCGAGATCATTAAGGAAAGGGATCGCGACGGTTGGAAAGATGACGATGAAGCCAGCCGGAGGTCCAGGGGCCCCGGTAGAGTATCAGTGGAAGAGGTGACGTTTCACCCAGTGATGCGTAAACGACGTGGACTGGCCAGCGCCATTCTAGGCCTGACACTGGGCCTTCTCCTAGGTTTCCTCATCCAAGGCTACAAGATCTTGTCGTCCAGCGGTCATCAACGGTTGAACGTTTACGCGTCCTCGATAGCCGGATCGCGGGCGTTGATCAAACCAACGCCGCGAAACGTTCCTAAACTGGACGACGACGAGCAAATAAACAGTTCGTCGACCAGCTTGGTTTTCGTCGGCGTGATGACGGCTAGTAAATACCTGGACTCGCGGGCCAAGGCGGTCTACGAGACCTGGGGTAAAGAGCTGCCAGGTAAAATTGCCTTCTTCTCGTCCGAGAACTCGGTCGTTCCGGGAAATTGCCCCGACCTGCCTTTAGTGCCATTACCACGAGTCGACGACACCTATCCGCCGCAGAAAAAATCATTCATGATGCTGCAGTACATGTGGAACAATTACGGGGATCGTTTCGAGTGGTTTCTCAGGGCCGACGACGACGTCTACGTGAGGACGGATCGTCTGGAGAAGCTGCTGCGATCCGTCAACTCCAACAGAGCTATGTACATCGGCCAGGCGGGCAGAGGCAATTCCGAGGAGTTTGGCTTGCTCTCGTTGGAGTACGACGAGAATTTCTGCATGGGAGGGCCGGGTGTTATTCTCTCCAGAGAGACCTTGAAGAGGATCGTGCCACACGTCAAGTATTGCCTGAGACACTTGTACACCACCCACGAGGACGTCGAATTGGGAAGATGCGTTCAGAAGTACGCCGGCATACCTTGTACCTGGAGCTACGAGGTAATTCCCTTTGTCTCCCTACTTCTATTTCTCCACTTCTATCTTCCCGCCTTTTAATTATAATAACACGACGCGAGTTCTTCGCCAGTTCTCGCCTCGAGGTCGAGATTTCTTTCGTGATTTGCTCCTCCTATGTATCGTTCCTTGCAATCGTCCGTCCGCCCCATCGTCGTTCACATAACTATTAAATCTATTTTCGGTTGTCCTGTTTTCTTCTCTCTCTCTCTCTCTCTCTCTCTCTCTCTGCTGATACGTAGATACGCACCGTTCATGGTATCCGTGTGATTTGTTGATCGACACAGACTTCATTAGAAACGGCGCGCTATCCCTCAGAACGTACCTTGATAGTAGACTGATCGATTAACGGAATCTTTCTCGAGATAACGCTCTGTTTCTCCGAGAATCTTCAGTTCTTTCGAAACCGAGGGATTCGCGTTACACGTATCGTCGTAACCGCTGTTCAACAGGTAACATAATATTCGCACGGTCTAAACGGGGTCCACACGACCGGCATTATCGATTTAAATACATAAGCTACGCATCTGCATCATGTATGTACAGGGTACGCTATCATTGGGTTAACTCGGAAGGTACAATGCACAGATGAGGATGTTAGTCGTTAAGTACAAGCGAATAGTACCCTGCTAACCCAGTGGCCAGATCGAGTCATTCTCCTCCATCTTGACACTCAACATTAGGTCGAAACCTTAAACAGGCAGTTTGCTGCACGAAGCGCTTAAATCTCTTATCGCCGTTCCTTGCAATAATTTAATCGAACTGCACGGTTACGGGTTGCGCGGTTGCAGGCGGACGTTACGATGCGAATTATTATGTCACGCGGTTAACGGCAACATTGACAGAAACACGATCCAATGAAATAATTTTCTTTTTTTTTTTTTTTTTTCTTTTTCTATGCTATTCGTTGCGTTGAGA